TAAAATTTTTCATTTTTCCTGAACTCATCGTCTCTGTAGGCACGTCCATGCCAAGTTTCAGCTTTCCATGTCTCTCCGTTTTACTCAAGCAAAAATAATGTTATGGAGGGGGAATGAGTAACGGGACATGGAAGGCAAAAAAAAAGCCAAAACAGAGCCAAGGAATGGCCGGGAATTGAACCTGGACCTTCTGAATGCCAGTTAGAGATGCTACTACTACACAACCGATCCCAGCACATCCAGTTGTCTCTCTGAATGCCATCCTCATCTGTCACAAAATATATTTAAGAAAAACTTTTCCCCAAAAAAATTTGTACCCCCAGGGCATGTACCTCCAAAGTGGGATTTTTTCTGAACTCTGCATCCCAAAAGGTACATGTGTACCAAGTTTCAGATTTCTAACCTTTCTAAAACATGGTTAGAATTAGCGTCAGTCAGTCAGTCACGATCGTCTATATATACGAGTATTAGATGTGAACCGTTTCCATACTATTCAAAAACCCCATTGGGTGTACAAAGCTCAGCTCCGCAATTACGGGCACGATGAAAGATATAATGAAACGCAAATGACTTCATGAGACAGAGTTCACGTGAGCCAGTTGGTGATACATGGAATCTGTTCCCCAGCGCTCTCAGGAAGTGACTAGTCATATATGTGCTAGCTCAAAAAGACCTGACCTAGCAACCCTCCAGCCTCTCCGCTATTTCAGGAAAACATGCTGACGAGTCATCGGATGTGCGATTACTGTACTTCCAAGAGACGTGCGTTTTCAAGTTTCCAGTCACAGGGAGATAGGCACTGGGATAAGAAGGCGTACTCAAGGCTCTCAATTCATGGTATCTCTCTGTAGCCTATTAATTCATCCCAAAGGGCCCATTCTCTGGGAGCTATCTCCATAGATATGAATTCATACATGAGAGGGTAGTGTAAAGAGACTCCCAATTGCGTCATGAGATCCTAAAGAGCTGATGTACGAGTTCATAAATGGGATGAGGGGCTTGCCACTGTCAGCCTGTTTAAGCCTGCAACATCACCCTGGGGTCCACCAGTTCCTCCAAGTCCCCATCACCGCGAAAAAGGCTTTCAATGTTTTCCTCATCCAATCTGTGGGAGCAGGTAATGCTAGGCAAACTTTCAGACTTGAAACATTCATGGATCTAAATGTTCCCAAGAGGACCAGTTAGTTCAAGAGAAAAATCCAAGATGGTGTACAGGGGTAGCCATGGCTGGTGAGATCCTGGAAGGACTCCATACATCATGAATGAAAGGTCCTATATATGAGGGTTCCACTCTTATCTCCCTCTCCCTTCCCTCCGCTTTTA